GCCTCCTGATGAGTCGGTGAAACTCCGACGAAACAGTTTGTCACAGCCCCTCGTTTGTTGTCCTCTTCTCCCTCTCTGCCTACGGTTTACCGGGCAGTTCTATTTGACGATATATATAGTCACATGATATCAGAGCGCCAAAGCGAAAAACAGAAACAAGAAAAACTCAATTCATTTTTAATCTCCTTCCTTACAACTCCCCCTGTTCAGAACCTCTTGTGTACAAGGCCGCCCACGTGGATATATATATATATATATATAGATATATAGATGAGTCGGTGAAACTCCGACGAAACAGTTTGTCACAGCCCCTCGTTTGTTGTCCTCTTCTCTCTCTCTGCCTACGGTTATCGTCACAAACAGAACTGCCGGTAAACCGTAGGCAGATTGTTGTGATGGCGGTCACCGCAAGGACATGGGTTGTCCCCTCTTCCCATGTAGTGGGTATAGTTACGGCCAGCCTAAGGTCTGCCAAAYCCGGGTTGCTGCCCCCATGCCCACTCACCTTTCTGTGGATGCAGAAAGGACGATGGCAGGTTTCCCGGCCTGAGCCATCGGGCCTAAAGTCCTGCTTTCCTGGCCACTCATTGTACCGTGCAAAACTAAAATAAAAAATATTTTTTTTACAAAAAATAAAAATAAAAAAATAAAAAAAATCACAATCCCTTTTGACAAAAATATGTCGTTACCATTACAGACAAATCAGGGGGTTGGCTCATTCGGGATTCTTCCTGTTGGTGGCGCGACAGGCACGGCACCGCTTCCTTCTCTTCGATCACGAGGTCGAAATCCCCCCGTCTCTAACCGGCAACGTGTTGACTGGCATGCCCATTTTCGCTGGAATACTGAGTTGTATTCTGCGGGAGCGTGGCATAAAAAGCAATTGCGGCAGCTAGATACTGCCACCGCAACTGAGCGCTTTGAATTACAGCTGAGGGGTATTGACCAACAACTGCTCCAACCAGGTAATGATCCGCTTTCTGTTGCTGGAGTCATTTATGCTGTTGTGCATATACCCTCTGGGCGTCTGTATGTCGGCCAGACAATTCATACTGCACATCAACGTTTGAAGGAGCATTGCCATGTGGGACATTCTGCTGTTGATTATCGTCATCGACATCTCTATCATGTTATGCGACAACAGTCTCTTTCAATTTTGCTGTTCTGGCCTCTTGAATGCATTGATCGTGCGCTCTACATTAATGATCGCGGTGAGATTGATCATGCCCTCTTTCGGCGAGCGGCCTCGCCTAGAGAAGGCTTTTGGGTCCGACGGCTGTGTACCTTGCAGCCTTCGGGCTTTAATGCAGTTCTGCCTATGTCTCGATTACCGCCTTCTCGACGGCAGCCACGCCCCGATCGCTGGCGGCAAGTTGGTCCTGCCCCTGCTGCTTCTCTTCACTCTGCTGCTTCTCCTCATCGATCTCCACTTGTTGTTTCCTCTCGGGCCTTTGCCATTGATATTAGTCCGGGCCCTCAACTAGCAGTACGAACAACGCTACGGCGGTTATTGACGTTAGGCGCAGCGGGTACTTGGTCCGAAGTTGTTGCTTCCATTCAGCRGGCWACGCCCGCTTGGCGAGCTTGCTTGCTACAATGGCTGTATACAAATGTTTCTAATGCTGATATGACGTCGGACGTCCCTGACCTTGAATGCCTTATTCGATGGTTTCAACATGTCCGACAGTGATATACTGCCCATTCCAGTGACACCTTCGGAAACTTTATCAGGATTGTGCATATGCACGAGATCCTGAAGGCCACTAAGCTGCGCCATGTGTTGCATTCACCGGATATTTGTGCATTACACCCTGACCCTCAGGCAGCCAGCGCTATTCGCATCTGTGACAAACTTGTACCCCCAACAAGGGTGCAATTTTGTAATTTTACGGAAGTTGCCTTGAGTCTCACTCCGGGCCTGCGCTTACCTGCTGCTGCTGATTGTCCTTGTCGTCAGGCCTTTCCTAACTGCACCGATCTGGTTGACGGCCATGTTGTTTCCGCCAACTACGATCTGATTCCGGATGCTAACCTCCGTCGCCTGTTTTATGAGGGCTCTAAATATCGGCTGAATGGAGTAGTGGGGGATATACTTGAAGCACTGGCTGTTGGTATTGATGATTATATTGCTGCGTATCTTCGTCCGACAGCACGACAATCCTGCGCAGCTACCCTAGCTCCACAACTGGCTCTTTGGCGTGCCACAGTTTTGCGTCACTGTGAGTACAATATGGCTGCCGCGTCACCTCTGCGACAGCCTCGCTCCTTGCGACACGCACATACGGCCCTGTGTCAGCTTCAAGAATCCTTTGCTATTGTTCCAGTGGATAAAACGTCACATAATCTGGCTATTTGTTGTAAAAACTGGTATCGTTTTAATATTTCTAGTAATTTTCTACTCATCTTGATAGTCCTACGTATTCTCGGCCCGATGAAACAGCGGCCGACATTCTGAATAGCCATGCACTTTGGAACAATCATTGGAATTATCCTCATGCTGACACATTGCCGTATCTTTATTGCGCCCTTAAGGTCCATAAGTCTCCTCCCACACTCCGTACTATTCTTGGTATCACTGCCCGCACCAATCTTTCTTCTTCTTCTCATACGGCCCGGCGGAGTGACCTGCGCCCTTCCCAACGAGTCCAGCGTTTGCATCACCGACCGCCTCACAATCCTGTGGCTAGTACAACACCTACATCGGCTCATTTGAGTGCGGCACTTCAAGGCGTCATCCGTACTCTTCACGAAAAAGATAATCAACTCTTCCAATCTGAAGGTATTCGACGATGTTGGATTGTCCAGAGCAGTGATGATGAGGTCATGCTTGACCTTAAAAAGAATAAAGCTTCTCTCCGAGGTCTGGCCCCTCATACGGTCGATTTCACGACTATGTATACTAATCTTCTCATCAACGGATTCTTAACAATGTTGCTAATGCCGTTGATGAGGCACATGCCTATGGTCTTGCACAGGCACGACAACATACACGGACACGTTCATCCCCTGTTGCTCTTCGTATGGTGGTCTGTGGACCGCGTGCAGGGGAATGGACTACGGATACGAGACCTGACACTCTTTCTGTGTCTGACATTCTTCAACATCTTCGGTTTATTGTTACTAATATGTATCTATATACAGCGGATGGCCTTGTTCGACACCAAGTAGTTGGTATCCCAATGGGTACAAACGCTGGTCCTGAGATTGCTAACCTCACACTCTATTGGGATGAGGCGCAGTACGTGGACAACCTGCAGCGTGTGGATCCCTCTGCAGCCCGCCGATATGTTTTGACTTATTGGTTCATTGATGATGTTCTTACCTTTGATTGTCTGCCACCATCGCCAGCCTATTATGGTCTTGAATGGAAAGAGACCACTGTGGCCGATGGCTCGTGCACCTTTTTAGGTGCGAAACTGCAGACACGGGCAGACGGATCTCTCCGATTGAGTGTGTTTGATAAGACTGTTGCATGGGATTTTCCTGTTATACGATATCCTAGTGCAACGTCGAACATTCCATCTCATCAGCCTGCAGGTGTGTTCACCAGTCAGCTTACACGGTTTGAGCAGATCTGTGACAATTGGCGTGATTTCAGAGCTGCGGCAACCATGCTTGTCCGCCGATTGCTTTCTCGGGGCCATGCTCCTTCAACATTAGCTCGTGGATGGACTTGTTACATTCGGGCTCGCCAGCGTCGACACCCTGTACATGTAACTCGTCTTACACAGTGGTTTCGACGTATGCTTCACTGGTCCGTGCATCATCCTCTTCCACCTTCTCCTCCCCTCTCCTTCCCCCCTCCTCCTTCCTCTTCCTCCCCCCCCCC